TGGAAACCCAGCGACTCTGCGTCGTGACCCTTCTATAATCCACACCTTCCATTCTCTGATGGTCTGTCAAATTCAGTGGCGTTTCAACGAGCGCCCACTAATTGAAGCTGCACGTTCTATGCATAGATTTATAGTGAAAATAATGAAGGGGGCAGCCACCCCAAACTCGGTCACAAGGCACTAAGTGACTCACGACCTGCAGAGGGCAGCTGCTAATGGGGAAGTTGGTCTGAAGCAAGGGTCAGCTGTGAAGGTCACGTGTCACGTGGCTGATCTGCATCAAAGAGACACACTTCGGGTCCATTAACAGCTGATCTTGTTAACTCCGACTGTGTCACTTACTCTCTTGACTGCTCCTTTGTTGTGGGGGCTGCTGGTGCTGGGGGGGTTGGGGAAACCGTGAAGACTGTGCTGAATGGTGTGGCCTTGGCTTCATGGCTATTCTCTGAGGTCAAGTGTATTAAAGTGGTGTGATAATGCTTCATGCACTTTCACATGCAAATAAACTCAGTAGTTTGGGGTTGGAGCAATGTGATTTCCCAACATTAGGTAGGGACACTATGGCAATGGCAGAAATCCCTTCCTCACTAAGCTTTGCAGTGGATACAGCAGAAATCTAAAACTCAAATTCCCATGGTGGCCAGACTTCATCAGAGATCCATAAACATTTCTATAAAGACTCAGATAGTACAAATTTTGGGTTTTATGGGCCCATGTTATTCTTTTTTTTTTTTTAAGATGTAAAAACTATGCTTAGTTCAAGGTCTGTAAGTGAAATCTGGCTCACCGACTGTAGTGTGCTGACCCTTCAATGAATGGAGGATGGGAACTATGGCTCACTGAGGGTGTATGGTCAGCCTCTGGGGTGGCCACTCCATGCTTAACTCCAGCTCATTGCTGCCAAGCAGGAACCCAAGAGCAACTCAAAATTTAGATTTTCACCTGAAATTTCCAGATTTAAAAAATTAACACTGAATTAAAAAGTTTTGCACAACACTAAGCTGACTCATATCCACAGGCCTGGTTTGTCATGGGCTGCAGCTTATGGCCTGCAATATGCCCTATTCCATCAGGATTTGGGGAGAGCACCTCGAGCCCCAGATGCAGCTATTTCATGGTTGGTCACTGGAGCTCCGATGGGGGCTGTATTCTTCCCCCGTCTTCTTTCGCCTCGGCCTTCCTCTTCTATCTTTCACCTTTCTCTACTTTTCTGCATGAAGTTCTTGCCTTAGTCTTTTGGGGCTGCTATAACAAAGTACACTAACCTGCATGACTTACACACAACAGGAGTTTATTTCCTTTTCTTTTTTTGACAAGGAGTCTCACTCTGTTGTCCAGGCTGAAGTGCAGTGGCACGACCTCAGCTCACTACAACCTCCCCCTCCAGGGTTCAAGCGATTCTCCTGCTTCAGCCTCCCAAGTAGCTGGGATTACAGGCATGTGCCACAATGCATGGCTAATTTTTTTTTTTTTTTGTATTTTTAGTAGAGATGTGGTTTGGCCATGTTGGCCAGGCTGGTCTCGAACTCCTGACCTCAAGTGATCCCCCTGCCTCAGCCTCCCAAAGTGCTGGGATTACAGGTGTGAAACACTGCACCTGGCTCAGAAGTTTATTTCTTACAGAAATTTATTTCTAGAGGTTAAGAATTCCAAGATCAAGATGCCAGATTTGGTATCTGGTGAAGGCTTATTCTTCTGGTTCATAGATGGTGCCTTCCTCCTGTGTCCTCCCAGGGCAGAAGGGGTAACTTCTGACCCACTTCTTAATATTATTGCAATAGGAATTAGGTTTCAAGATATTAATTTGAAAGGGAAGGCATGAACATTCAGACCAGGACACCCTTCAGAATTTCACTGTGGGTTTAATCCAGGATATATTTTCTCAACACACACACACACACATGTGCACACACACGCACACACACATACTCTGCTCATTGCGACACCCATTCTAAAGGCAATACTGTGAATAACGTTTATAAATGTTCATCTCATATGTTCATCTCCCTTATGCCAGACACACACAAGGGACAGAATTGTGCAGGGGGCCACAGCCCCTCCACATCAGGTGGCATATCATCATGGACAGCAGGATCCATGAAGACATAATGATATACCTCAAAGGCTCCTGTCAGCAAAATCCCTCTTCTGTGCTGAGCTGAGGAGTCCCAACTATACCCGGGAGATGGAAAAAGGCATTGCACCAGGGAGGAAGGCATCCTTGAACTAGGCTTTTCAAGGAAGAGCACAGAAAGGGGGGCATGGAACCTGTAGTGCCTTCCACACAGGGGAAGAAGCACAACAATAGAGGTGTGGGAGCATGCAAAGGCAGGTCCGTGCTGGGCATGGGGCTCTGGGGAGTCATTGAGTGTCGCTGCAAAGCAGTAGCACTGGGGAGGCATCCTCGTGTGCCCAAGACTTGGGTACTACATTGCAGTAAAAGTGAGAGGGCCAACAGCTTTTGGAGGCACCCACATGAGGAGTAAGGGAGCAGTGGGACAAGGTCATCTCAAGACAGCTGCAGCTGCTAAAATGATGTGCCTTTGGGTTTGCCTGCTGGGAAGGGGCAGCAGTGTCTACAGCCCCTGCTGAACACTCTAATGGGATGCCTTTGGCCAGAGCACCCATTCTAGGTAAGTTACACACAGGAAATTGATTTTTTAATTTCAGTCATGCAAACCTATGAACCAAGACAAAGACAAGTTCTCTGCTGTAGCTTTCCATTTCTGGAACCTGCTCTTTCCCTTTCCTTCCCCTTAGCTCCTCTGAATATTAAAGGAGAGGGGCTGTGTGGGGCTGCCACAGCCAGCACCCAGATAGAATACAAAAGGTCAGCCCGGGAGCCAAAGAGGAGGAGTCTGCATCTGTCTGCAGACATGCCAGGCAGCTGCCCTGCAGACCAGCACCCCAGAGGCTGTTCACCTGGCCTTCTGGCAGGGAGAGAGCTGCTGCCATGGCAACTGCCAGCCGCAGCAGAGGTCACAGAGGAAACGAAGAAAAAAGCAACAACAGCAGCATTAATAATGGCAATCAGAAAAGCAGGTGCAAAATACATCACTGGAAAAATGCTGCTATCCTGAGGAGGTGGCTGGGATGGGGCAGGATTAGAAAAGCGCTTGAGAGGGATGGAGAAGATTGAGCAGGAAGTCAGAGATGACATTTTGGGCTGAAGGATGGGGACAGCTTAGTTTCCCTAAGTACCCAGCGTAATGAAATTCCAGGGATCTGAGGAAGTCAGTGGGTTGTTTACATACATAATTAAATACAATTCTATTTTTGCAGGAGCAGATTAACACTTATTTCCCACTTATTTCTGAGACATGCAAAGTATTTTTAGAGCTTGAGATTTTTTTCAATGATAAGATACGTCTGTGTAAGGAGCAGAAAGGCATCATAATGTCCATTTTGCAGATGAGAAATCATACAGAGAATCCAAGTCTCAGAAATGGCTCACTCTCAGGCACTTCAGCATAAAGGTCTTCTGTCACTCACTCTTGAAAACAATGTTCAAGAACTGACGTCTTCCGACATTGAGAAATGGGCATTCCTCGGCAGTTCAGGAAGAGTTGTACATTTTAACCTATTCTCTTGAAGACAACATTGATTACAGATACCAGAAGAGTGAAAATGTTGCATTTTATTGATCCAACCATCTGACTTCTTAGGATTTAATCTAAGAAAATGATCTTGGAGATGGCAAAAGATATACCACCAGGATGTTCATTGTAGTGGTGTTTATACTAATGAAAACTTGAAAATAATTGAGCCATTTGGCAATATGAGATTTGTTAAACATGTGGTGAGAGATATCACTACAAATTGTAAAGAAGTATTTAAGAGATACATAAGCTTGATTTCTATTTGGGATGCCGTTAATGGAGGTAGCAGAGATGAGGTGGTGGGAAGGAAGCCAAGATCAATCTCTGCTGAAAGTTGGAACAAACTGCTGTTCTTCTGTTAGCCATCTGGGTATGGCAATCACCTTAATCTTAGTGATGGAAAAATAGGGACCTGAGACTAAGCTGACATCTTCCATACAGTAGGAAGTGGCTGATTGCTCTGATGGTGGGCAGGAAAAGGGGAGGCAGGTTTGGGGGCTGGACACTCTTTCCCTCCAATAAATGAGCCAGGCATGCACTCCTTATTTTTCATCCTGGGAGAAACCCAAGCACGGTGGCTTCCTCTCCTCCTGCCAGGAGGCAGGTTGACAATCAGCATTCACGGACCATTGCCTCATTGCTCAGTTCTCTGCACACCTGTTAATTTCATCCCCAGGAAACATGAGTGGCCCACAGTGTGTTAAGAGGTGTGTATACACTGGTGCGTGTCTGTGGGCATGTGCGTGTGTGGGTGATGAAATTATTTAGCCAGTTATCACTGCCTGTTTCTGGGTTAGCTCTAGGTGGGAAAATGATGGAAGCCGTTTTGCCTTCTCCACAATGCTTATTTCTATCTTCTGAATTTGTAACACTAAATATAATGTTATTTGCAACAGAAAAAAGAACAAAAACATTATTTTTAAATATTGATGTTTCTAGTCAATAAAATAATCTGTTCCCCTTCCCACATCTCCTGCATGGTAAGCACGCTTGCAGCTTCCTAGTTAAGCGTTACTGCTTCCTCCCACACTGGACTTCACAGGGTCTCAGGAAAGAAACACACTCACGGTTCTCCTATCAACCTGGATTCCATGTGTCCAAATAAAGGAATTGTAAAACTGCATGATTCTTTGAATCTCACCAGATTGTTAGCCTCATACGTCTTTCTTTTAAGTCTTGGATATGGGAAACTTGAACTAAATCCTATTTGAAGAGCAGTGCCTTCAAAGTAAGATGCAGGGCGCTGTCTGCGTTTTTTACAGGGCACAGAACTACGGAGAGCACGCATCAAAGACCTCCACCTAGCACGGGCAAAGGTCTGCTTCTGCATTTAAGCATCTGAGCCCTCAAGAGTTAGCTCCCGGGCTCCTCTGGAGCCAGATTCCGCCCGGTCCCACGTACCTGCCTCGTCCGCCGTGATGGTGAGCTCGTTGCTGGGTTCGCTCTTGCCAATCCGGTTCTTGGCGTACATGCGGATGCTGTAGGTGGAGGAAGGGTGGATATCAATGATGGTGGCCGAGTTCAGCTGAGGGGAAACATCTTTGGTTCTCTGAGCAGAATCCCAGGAGTCTTTTGGGTTTTGTTTTTCAAAAAAGAAGAGATAGAGATGTGAGTTTTTTTCCTCTGCCTTTGAAAGTTCACAAGCAGGAATTAAAAAAAAAAAAAAAAAAGACGGAAAGAAAGAAAAATTACACGCAAAGTGATTTCTCAATGCAATGTTCCCAGCTTTCTGGCAGAGTTGGCCATCAGAGGGGATGTGACATCCCACACTCATTATTCACGCTGCGAGGGACATGGGGCAACGAGCCAGCCGAGTTCAGGGAGGGGCGATGGAGGAAGCACAGAGCAGCCGACTGGGGGAGATCTCAGAAGGCAAATTCCAGTGGCGAAGCTCAGGTTAGTGGAATGGACAATGGTCACCGTAAGCACTCATTGCATGGGACAGTACAATGAACTATGGTTTGGATAGTACCCCTGGGTCCCCCCAAAATCCCCGGTTCTAAAAGGCATTTGAAAACCAGCAAAACTTCAAGCCATACCAGATCCTTTCCTCTCCAAATAGAGTGTGTTAAAAATAAGATAATCCCATACAAACCAATCTCCATTTCCAGAATAAATCCTGATTACCAAACATATTTTTCAATTCTATTTTTTGAAATAATTTAGTGCCAAATCCTTGGTTGTAGGAATTATTTTTCAACCACAGCTAATTATAACAGCAGCACCTGCTTCATGTGAAATGTTATCACTGAATCTATGACATTTTGTATCTGGTGATTTTCAGGTTTCAAGCAAGGATGCGAATGTCAATACATGGTTCTTATATCAAAAGGGTTTGGGCAGTTGTTGATTGTAGGTGGGTGGTCGACAGCTGGTGTTGGCTAGGGGGATGAACAGAGGAGTCCCCAGGACAGAAGACAGAGATGGTGCCTGCATATTCCCACCCTCCTCAGGGTCTGCCTTGGTGGTGATGACCACACAAGTAAGTCCTCCGTGGATAATCTGAATCTGTGTTCCCTGCTGGACTTTAAACTCCAGGAGGGCAGAGACCATGCTGGCCATATACAGTCTTTTATCCCGAATGCTAGCACAGTGCCTGGCTCACAGTAGACAAACAGTACATAAATGTTTAATAGATGAACAAATAAACCACAAATACACAGACCTCTGAGTCTTGGGAATGGGGTCAATCACTTTGTCACACTAAGGGTGAGTATGGCAGTTTAGGGGACTTCTCTGTCCAGTGTTAAACATAAATGCAAGATATTTTCTGGAATTGAAGAAAAATATGTGGCTTAAAGAATGCTTTTGAATACTTTAACTTCTCAGAGAATGGAACCTAATAGAAGCTGACAATGAATATTGCAGTTGACAAAGAAAAAGCATATTTGGGGTCAAGATTAGAGGTGGAAAAACATGAAATAGAAAGAGTTGGAAAAAAATTGACGAGCAGAAGAATGTGATTCAATAGAAGACAAATGAGGAGAGGAAATTTTATAGCAATGAAATGGCACACACCTATGAGCCTTGTCGCACAGAGAGAAAGCCAGGCTTCTGCAGAGATGTTTAGGAGGATGAGGAGGAATGCCAGGTGCCGCAAGATGCAGGGACATTTGCTAAGTAGCCCCGGGAGGAAGTAGGCAGTTGTGGTGGTTGATGCCTTTGCCCAGGCAACATGGAAGTTTCTGGAACTGATGGGGCCAATGAAGATACAGCCATCTTCACTGGAGGTTTTTGTCTGGGAGTTGGCGGGCAGCCTGGAGAGGCATATGAGTATCCATGACTGCAGTCCCTTACACCAATCCAAGGCATATGGTGGACCTGGGTAGGGACAGGACAGTCCCCTCTTGGTGGTCACTGGGCACCTCCACATCCATGCCCTATAGGTTCCTTTAGCTCAGCCCCTACCTCAGTGACACTGCCTTGTTCAACAGTCTCCCAGTGACTTACAAACCCTCTCTGATGCTGCATTTGCTCCCTGTCTGTAGAAACTACCACTCCCTCCCTCCAGTGGGCTGGGGGACCCATTTCAAAGCCCATCCTCACCCTTCCTGTCCGTGGCCTTCCCAGACTCTTCCCAGTCACACTTGCCCTTTTCAGATCTTGGATGTCCATTCATACATTTCTGTTTGTGATTTACTCCTAAGAACCTCTTTATTTGGTTAATGGTGCATTCTTTTTAGTTATATTTATATCGCAATTTTCGGTTTCATCCTCCCATCAGGGCAATGTGCTGGGCATTTTAAAACATGACTTCTGTGGCCCCCAAATCTGTGGGCACATTGGAAACACCTTGGGGCTTTTTGATAATTCTGCTTTCAGACCTACTAAACCAGAATCTCTGGGGAATGGTGCCCAGAAACCTGTGCTTTTAAAAAGACTCCCTATCTTGGTCATTCTGATGTATAGTTTGGACAGACTGTTTTATATGATTAAAATTGTACAACATCCTGCCAAGGTAAGGTTTTTGTTTCCTTAGTAAAAGTCAAGAAACTCAAGCCCTGTTACACAGCTGGTAAGAAGAAGGGCTGGGATTTGGCCTCATCTGTGTTATCTCCAAGCTCAAGGTCATTTTTCTATAATGTATGACATCCACATAGTCTCTGAAAACACCTAATAAGACAGGATTTTGGTATTTCCAGGCACCTGCTGAAAATCTCATATGCTTAGAAGACCTTCTGGCAAGTTGACAATGCACAGAAATCATTTGGTCAAATGTAAGAGAAGAAAACTTTGGCCCAGAATTATTGTACCATCTGTGGGTTTGCAGGAAGACTGAGAGGGCTGTATAGGCTCAGAGTTGCAGCCTGGTTTAGGAAGAAGTTGTCAGAATCACTCACTGAAAGAGTGGGCAGGATGCCACAGCTTGGTGTAAGGGACTGCAGTCATGGACACTCATATGCCTCTCCAGGCTGTCCGCCAACTCCCAGACAAAACCTCCGGTGAAGATGGCTGTATCTTCATTGGCCCTGTCAGCTGCAGAAACTTCCATGTTGCCTGGGCAGAGGCATCAACCACCACAACTGCCTACTTCCTCCCAGGGAGACTGGTGGTGTAGGAGGATGGGGCAGTTCAGAGTCCCACTGCAGCCTCTGTGCAGTGAGGAAGGAGTGAGGAGCTGATAGGAGCCGGTGAGGTTGCACTGGGTGCTTGCTGGGGAGCTTGTCTTGGGGGTCAGATACCCCAAATCCAATGAATGCAGGAGCAACAAGGACTAATATAAGAGCGTGGACTTGATATGAAGAAGTGCTGTTATAGGCTAAAGACCAGACCGAGTGAGGGTGACTGAAAGTTCTAGAGGTGAATTACATGAAAGGCTTAACAATGGAGTGGTAGCTGGGAGAAGGAGTGGGCCCTCCATGTTGGTGACTAGGAGGAGGTGTGGGGACACAGCAGAGCCCCTTGTCCTCTGTCTTATTCTTCTCAAGGATAACAGTTTTCAGGGTGAACTAGGGGTGGGAGCCCAAGAGAGGAGAGGGGCTGGGGGCGTGTACGTTCTGTGTCAGAGTCTGTGTTTCCTGTTACCTTCCAGGGTGTGATGGAGCTTGCCATGGTGCTGAAACCTGGCCCGAGACCTGTGAGGCACCATGGACAGGAGGGAGGGACAGGAGAAACTGTGGACAGGAGGGAGGCACCAGAGAAACCGTGGACAGGAGGGGCCACCAGAGAAACTGTGCACAAGAGGGAGGCACCAGAGGAACTGTAGACAGGAGGGGCCACCGAGAAACTGTGGACAGGAG